TATCGACTGTATGACTAGAAGTAGAATGGCATAGTTTTAAGCACATAAACTGCTCATACAATAAAATAAAAAATATGCCCTAAAAAGTGCCAGCATTGATGGGGTGGGAAGTGGGGGTGATGAGCACAATGAAAGAATGCTTTAAGTTTCTTTCCTCACATTGAAACAGGATTAGTAGCACAATTTCACATGGAAGGCAATTGAAATACGCCTCATGAAGCAATGTGATGTAACAGAAAGGGCACTTTAACCAAAAGAAGAAAAAAACCTGAATTCTAGTCCTTGATCTGCTACTATCTCTGTGACTGCTTGAGAAACCTAACCTCCCTTTAACCTCAATTCCCACCTATAGATAAGTTGCTGGGAGGGGGGTAGCCCTCAGGTTCTCATAGGTCAAAAATTCAGTTTCTATGTCGAAATATTTGGGATACCATCAAAGCAAACCGCAGTGGATATAACACATTTTGATGTTTTTAGAGGAAAAAAATAAATGAGACAGAGATAAGTGGTTTCTGAGGGAAAGAACAAGTTTTTATTCCTATCTCACACCATCCATAAGGACTTCCTAACATGACACAGAACCCCAAAACCTAAAAAAAAAAAAAAAAAAAAGAGAGATGGATTTCAAATCATAACAATTAAAAAACTTCAGTAACAAAGTAAAAAGACAAGTAACAAAAAAAATACTTGCAACATATACTACAAAGGATAAACTGGATAATGGGCTTCTAGAATCTGTTAAGAAAAAAGGTAAGGAACCCTTTGGAAAATTGGGTTAAGGAGATGAATAGGCAATTCAGAAGGAAACCTATAATGACCAATGAACATCTGAAAAGCTGCTTAATTAAAGATTTATTTTTCTTTAATCTGAGTGTCAAAAGTTAAAACCAGCTAATTACAGTATGTGAAATTAGTACTTTAACACTCCTGGTGAAAGTGCAGTGTTTTGGGGAGGGCAATATGGCAGTATATGTTAATTCTGAAATGCTCCTCAATTTATCCCTTCCACTTCTACGTCTCTCTCTTAGATGCGAATAAGGATGTGTTTTCCACAATTGTTTTTAATGGTGAAAAACCTGGAAACAAGCCTAAGGTTTATTAGTAAAAAGAATAAATAAGCTATGATATATCCACATCATGAAGTCTTGTAGTTAAAAACAAGAAACAAGAACAAGCTAGAGCTACATGTATTCACATGGAAGGATCTTAAGACAAAACCAAATGTACAGCAGGAGCCCATTTTGTAAATGCATAGAAAATATCAGAAAGGGTACACATCAAATTGATATTGAGGATTACTTCTAAGAAGAAGAAGAGAACAAAACTGTGGGCTTTCACTTTACCTGAGTAATTTGAATTTTAAATAAGACTGATTACGAAGTGAAAAATTTAGAAAAGCTAAAAATCAAATACGAAAAGTTTTTAACATGATAAATAACTACGTTTAATAGGAAAAGTACTCAATTATAAGGACTGGCCTTTTACAAATGGAAAACTAACAAGGAAAAAGATGATTCATGATTCAATATGATCTTCACCTGAATTAAGACTCTTGTGCTTCAAATGGCACATTCAAGACAGTGAAAGAAATTCACAAAATGGGAGAAAATATTTGCAAATCACAGATGTGATAAGGGACTTGTATCAAAGATAAAGAATTCTTAAAACTCCAAAACAAAAAGACAAATAACCTAATTTTAAAATGGTCCGAGGTTGTCAACTAAAAAGGAAAAATAGTTTTTAAATGGTCAGGATTTGAAGACATTACTCCAAAGCACACGAAAAGATGCTCATCTTTTTTATTCATTAGGGAAACACAAATTAAAATCACAATGAGATACCATGAAACATCTAATTAGGATGATTATAATCCAAAAGACAATTTAACAAGTACTAGGAAGGGTGTGGGTAAAATGAAACTCATACAGTACTGATGGGAACGCAAAATGGTGCAGTAATCTGAAAGTTTGGCAGTTCCTCAAAACATTAAACATAGTTACCGTGTAATTCAGCAATTCCACTCCTAGGTATATACCCAAGAGAAAACACGTACATCCAATAAAAAAATTTGTAGTACACAAAAGTTCATAGCAACATTATTCACAAAGCCAAAAAGTGGAAACTCAAATGATCATCAACAAAACGAAGTTTAAAAGAAATACACAGCCTTACATTTAGGTCCAAAGAGCAACTAAGCAACTATACATCCACAAACAAACAAATAACTAAACATTAACTCATAAGAAAAATATTTGGGGGACGTGGGAGATTGTTCTATTAACATAGAAATTTGCAATTAAAATCTAAATCATACAGACTTTTCGACATGGTAGTCATACCTTACAAACTATACCCTTAAAAAAATAATTGAAAGGTGAGAAAAAGCGATTTGGACAAAGATTCTCAGTAGTGCTATTATTATAATAGAGAAAGAATCCAAATTTCTCACCATAAGTAAACTGTCGTAATGAAACACCATGTAACTTAATAACAACGTCAAGTATGTGGGTGATGTCCATTAACTAAAAATGGATATTTGTTCAATCATACAAAACACATCTAAGCAATATACTATGTGGAGAGAGCCACCTGAGAATAATGTGCGCAAACTGCAGCACTCCACGTTTTCCTGAGGCGGCATTTTACCGCGAGGGTAATTTAATTCTGACGATAATAAAGCTGGACAAACGGTGGAATGAAAAGCTAAGTCAGCAACGGATCGTTACTAGAAAAGGCTCCAGACTAGAGAGAAACTGAGAGCCTGTGGCCGGGCCCGTGGCTCCGCCTCCAGATCGACCCTCCGCCCTCAAGGGCTTTCGGGCGGAAAAGTTTGGAGGCGCTACCGGCCTCAGGGCCTTTCTACTCCCCAACCTCCTTGCTCCGTTTCCTTTGCGTCGACTTTCATCTCCTTCTGTCTCGGCCCACGTCCCAGGCTCCCCCGTGGCCCTGAGCAAAGCAAGCGCCAGCTACCCCAACCGCGGGCCCGGTCATCGCCCCAGGCTCCCTCTCTCCCCCTCCCTGACCTCGGCCCTCAGTCCTCAGCCCTGGACCCCTCAGCCCGGCCGCACTCACAAGAGGAAGCTCATCTTCTATTCTCACAGGGAAGGGGAGGGGCCGCTGGCCCCGCCGCGGTAAGGATACGGAGCCGGCCCGGGAACCGCGAGGGAGCGGACAGTCCTCAGCCCGCCGACAGCGGAAGCGCTGGTGCGGCAGCTCCCAGGCTGGGGTCCAGACGGTACAAGCCGCTGCAAGCTGCTGCGCCCACCTCACTCGCCCTTCCCACCTAGGCGAGCTCAAATGCGGAACCAGCATAATCTCGCGAGAGAAGGCTTTGCTCTGCCCTGCCCCGCCCCACCGCCGGGAGGGACGCGATGCGCCCCTTTTCACCCCGCCCTCTTTTGCAGCTCACCCAAACATCAGGCACCAGACCGGGATTTCTTCTCCAAGAGGCGTAGTGGCATTTCGGTCCTAGGTCTGGGAGAGTGGCTGTACATCCATTTGATCTAGCTTGTTGCTGTTGGGTTCCTGATCCCTAGGTAGCATGGGGCTTCTATGAATGCTGCAATTTTTTAAAAATTTAATTTGGCTTTTAAATTGAGATATATTTCACATGGCATAAAAGTCACCCTTTTAAAATGTATGCTCCAATGGTTTTCTTCGTATATTTACAGTTGCGCAACCATCACCACTATTTAATTCTAGAATATTTTCCTCACCCCAAAAGAAACCAGTACCTATTAGCAGTAACTCACCATTCCTCCCTCCTTATAACCTGTGGCAACAGTTAGTCTACATTTCATACGCATTTGCCTAATCTGGACATTTCCTATAAATGGAATCGTACAATGTATGGTCTTTCATGACTGGCTTCTTTCACTTAGCTTGATGTTTTCAAGATTCGTCCATGTTGTAGCATGTATCAGTACTTCATTCTTCTTTATAAGTGAATAATATTCTGTTGTATGACTACACTTTACTTTGTTTATCCATACATCTGTTGATGGATTTCCATTGTTTCCACTTTTTAGCTATTATGAATAATGCTACTATGAACATTCCTGTACCGGTCTTTGTGTAAATGAATGTGTTCATTTCTCTCAGGTATATATGTAGGAGTGGCTGGGTCATGAGGGGAAGCAGAGTTTGCCACCCCAAAATGTGCCTTTTGGGCTATTGATTATTTTAAGCTGGTTATTTTCAAGAAAAAAAAAAAAAGACCCCTCACAATCATATAGTAACTATATGTTTAACTTTTTGAAGAACTGTCAGACTATTTTCCAAATCAGCTGCATCATTTTATATTCCCACTGGCAAATGTCTGAGGGGTCTAATGTTTCCACATTCTTAATAACATTTGCTATTGTCTATCTTTTTGATTACAGCCATCCGAGTTGGTATAAAGTGGTATCTCATTGTGATTTTGATTTGCATTTCCCTTTTGGCTGATGTTGAGAATTTTTTCATATGCTTATTGGCCTTTTGAAACAAATTTATTTTTATCTTACTTTAAAGTTAGCTCAGGCCCCTAAAGCACCATCCAACAACTCAAAAGGGGTTCTGGTCCAATAACAGTCTTTATTTACTGTCTCCACATTGTCACCTTACCCTTGATCCTTAACACCTGACTGTCCAGATTCTGCATTGTGCCCACTCTCCCACAGAAACTTCTTGCCAGGCTTTCAAGTGTCTTAGTTTATAAATCCATGGGCATTTTTCAGTCATTATCTTACTTGCCACTTAGTTCTATCTGGCTCCTCCTACCAGACTCCTCATTTGATCTCTGTGATCTGGCTTCTATATGGTGGAAGTCGGGGCACAGAAAAGGGAAGAACACCATGATTGGGTTTGTTGGTTATAGTCTACTTTAGCTAGTATTTTTGGTAGCAAGTGACAGAAACCCACGCTGTTCACATTTCCACCCAAACTGCTTTATATTT